TCTCTTTCTCTCCCTCCATCCGTACCCTCATTCGCTCCTTCATATCCACTCTCTTTGTTTACTCTCCTTCCCTCTAACCATCTATGCTTCCCTCCCCCCATCTTTATTACTTCACTCTCTTGCTTTTTATCCACCCCTTCTTCTTCTCCCATCCTTTTCTCCTTTCCTTTCCTCCCTCCCTCCCATCCAATCCCCCTTTACTCTCCTTCCCTCCATCTATCCATGTCTTTTTCCATCCTTTCCTCTCCTCCCCTTCTTCCCTTATCCCTCACTCTCTCTATCTTCCATCCTTCCACCATCCCTCCTTTCTTCCCTCCCTCCCTTATCTCTCACTCTCTCTATCTTCCATCCTTCCTCCATCCCTTCCGTTCCTTCCCTCTCTCACTCCTCACCCTACCTCTCATCCACCCCCTCCCTGCCCTCCCCTATTCTCCCTCTCTCCGTCTCTCTTTCCCTTCCCCCCCCATATCCTCCTCCTTTATCCCCCTCTCTCCCGTCTCTCTTTCCCTCCCTTTCCTCTCTTCCACCTTCCTCCCCTCACCTCCCATCCCCTCCCTCCCTTCACCCTTCTCTCTCTTTCAGTCTCTCTTTCCCTCCCTCCCTCTCTCCTCTTCCTCCCCCCACCTCCTTCTCTTCCTCCCTCCCTTCCCCCTCCCTTACCCTTTACTCTCTCCCTCCCTTCCTCTCTCTCCCCTTCTTTCCCTTCCTCCCTCCTTTCCCTCCCTTTCCCTCCCTTCTCCCTCCCCTCCCTCCCTTCCCTCCCTTCCTCTCTCTCCTCCCTCTCTTTCCCTTCCCTTCACCTCCCTTCCTCCACTTCCCTCACCCTTACCTCCCCTCTTTACACCTCCCTCCCTATCCGATCAAAGTCCCTCCCTCCCCTCCCTTCCTCTCTGCGCTTTTCTCTCTTCCCTTCTTTCCCCTCCCTCACTCCATCCACGTCAAGCGCCAGACGTGCCTTGAACTCAGAAGAAGCAAATTACAGTGTAAGATTTGAGGTCTCTCTAATGTGTGTGGAACTTTCCACTTAAGGTTGTATGATAACACGGTTACGACCAGCGGGAAAATTGGTCCTTTACGAGTTCAGGGAAGATGGTGATCGGAAGGAAGAGAGGATGTCGAGAGCAAGAGGAAAAGGGAAAGAGGGGAAGAAAGTGAAGTCTCGCGGGTATAAAAATGGTTTTTTTAAAAATTTCGTTNCACACGAGTGACAATCCGCGGAATTTACACCGCCCCCCCTTCAAGATGACAAAAAAAAGGAAATATACTCAACCTGACTTAAAGACTTTAAACGAAAATATTTGTTCAATAAACCCCCTTCAGAGAGAAAAAAAAGGAAAATAAATAAACTGACTTAGACCTTAAACGTAAAAATGATTTGTCTCAATAAACAGTCTCACCAACCTTACAAAGTTCGAAAATAACGAAACCAAACCACCCATTTTCCTTTACCGAAATCACAGCAAAAACATCTAAATATTGCGAGTATCTTCCTCCATTTTCCTTCCCGAATTCAAAGCAGATTATAAAAACATCGATTTTTTTTCTTTTTTCTTTTTTCTTTCTCTCGACCAACTTCTCTACTTCCAGAAGCTGTTGAACTTAACTATGACTGGGATTTTAGAGAAGAAAACTACGAGTTTTTATTGTGTTTTTTTCTGTTTTTTTAATTTCATTTTCTCTTTCTCGATTGCTGTCCTGGTTTTAATTGGTTTATTTGCGGTGGCTGGTGGTCGCTGAGACTCATAAAGCTGTGCATATATTCCTTTTTATTATTTTTATTTACCCCACTTTGTCTCTCCTCCATCCTTTATCTCCTTGCGTCTCTCTCATTTTCCTGATCTCTTTCTGTCTCTCCTTACTTATCTTTATCTCTTTCTATCTCTCTCCTCTTGTTATCCCTTTATCTCTTTCCTTTTCATTATCTCTCTCCTTTTCCTTTTCATTATCTCTCTCCCTCTCTCTCCTCTTTCCTTTTCATTATCTCTCTCCCTCTCTCTTATCTATGTCTTTGTCTGAACACAATTGACTGTCAGGGAAAAAAAATCTTAAAGGATTATCAGCCTCAGTGAAAGTAATCAATCTCATTTGCATATATTTATTTCCTCTGACTTATTCATCCTTGTGATTCAGATCATCAACTTTGCGAATCTTTCCCCCTTTATCCTTTATTTTTCTTTCTTTCTTTTTTGTTTTAGAAAGAAACCCATATTCTGAGGGGCCAGATGCCTCCAAGATCACGCCCCCCCCCCAACCGCTGTGGACTGACCAATCGCCGCCGTCCTGACCTAAGCCACGCCCCTTCGCACATGACCCTGACCTCTGAAAAAAACACTCCACACTGAGTCATGATCCAGTGAACCTCCGAACCAGCCCTGAGCACCTCCGAACCAGCCGCCTCCGAACCAGCCCAGTGAACTCCGACCACGTGCGTTCCCCTCCACCTCAACTTGGGGGACCCTCACACCTAAAAACTGGTGCCATTAGCTGGTCCCAACAAGCT